TTCAAGCCAGGTACTTAGTCTTTGCTGGAGGGGACGAAACTCTGTGCAATCCGATCGAAGAGGATGACGCTAGGCTCGCCATATGGTCAGTTGCAAAATTAATCTCCCTATGCACGTGTTGTATTTTAATGCTCCTGTCCTATTGAGCCATGCTGTGAATAGCCTTTTACAAGCGTTTTGTGAGCTCCGAAGTGGTTCTCGGTGCCAAGCACCATTTGCGTCACGCATTAGCTCTCAACCTTGGCAATCACTTTACGATAGCCTGACTCCCATGCCAACTATAGTCCCTGAAGAAGGCCCCAAAGATCGGCATGTACAATAACCAATATTCATGAGGAAACCCTCTATCCATCGACCCGCCTCATTTCGAATTAGACCTCCTGCAGTACTCAGTCCCGTAGAGGTATCAAAGGCACCATCCGTATTCAAAGGCCGACGGGAAGAATCCAATAGCCCAATAGCAGGCTATTTGTCCTAGTTTTATAGGAGTGGCAGCCCAAACTGATTTGTTCGTCTACTCCATTGTCCATTGACAAAGGCCTAAATCACTACAAAAAAATTGTTATATTCCAACGGAAAATCCTATGGTAATATATACCAATAGAAATTCTAACGGATATTCTAATGGTATAGCTTCCGTTGGAATGGTTCCAACGGAAATATTCCGTTGGAATGTGTTTTTCACTGGAATTTTAGATGGAATTTGGTGATTCCAACGGCTATATTTCCAACGTTTTTTTACCGTAGGAATTTCCGTTGGAATATGCAATTTCCGTTGGAATTTTTATTTCCACCTCTGTTGAAAAATCCACCGTTGGAATCGTCAAAATCCAACGAAAAATTCCAATGGAAAACTCATTCCAACGGAATATTTATGTTGGAATTTCCGGTGAAATCCATTGAAAAATTCCAACGGAAATAATAGTATTGAAATATCCGTTGGAATTGCCGTTGGAATCATTCTATTATATAAATTTCCGCTGGAATTTCATCATTTTCTTGTAGTGAATGCTATTGTATCAAAAACCAAAAACAATCATAATAAAATACTACTGCACTGTCGAACAAAGTAGTTAGGAACCAGTGATAATTAAAACTGTTAATCTTAATGACACGTGAGTTCAACTCAACTTGATTCGTTGATAAACGAGTAGAACTCTGTCTCATTTATTTAAATAGTCAGCTCGACTTGCCTTTTAATTAAAAAGCTCTTAAGACTTGAAAAATAGGAATCTTTATGTAATTTTTAAGCTTTAATATAACTCGGTTCGTTAATGCCTGAGTTCGACTAGATAATAAATCGAACCAGAGCTCGGGCTCGACTCGGTTCATTTACAGCTCTATCACTCGAGATGACAACAAAGATCGTGGAAATAAATTAGATAAATGTGATAAACAGGAAATTTTGAATGAGGTTTATCCTCAGATTTTGCATGTAAGACACGGGCCAATCATTTTTTGGAATCTGTTTGATCAATTTTTCTAAGGCCGAGCTCTGAACGTGCCACATAAGTCCAACTACTCATACAACTTTACTGTTAACTTATCGGTTCACCTAGCTATTTCTTTGTGCCATATCATCTAGCCTTTCAATTATCAAATGAGCTATCGTTCATTGAACTAGATAAACACGTTCGATAATTTACATATTGAATCCGAATTGCCGAGCTAAACTGGAAAATGTCATCTAAATTGTAGCCGAAATTGTCAATTTGTGCCGAGATCTTGTGCGCCACGTACCGAGCTCCGAATCATGACCTCCAATTGAGCCGATTAAAAGTGCCGAGCTCATATGTATCAAATGCCGAGCTCTTCATATGGCTGTGCAATCGAACCAACTAAAGAGCCGAGCTCTAGATCTCGGCGCCACGTACCGAGCTCCGAATCATGGCATCCGATCGAGCCGATTAAAAGTGCCGAGCTCATATGTATCAAATGCCGAGCTCTTTATATGGCTGTGCAATCGAACTAACTAAAGAGCCGAGCTCTAGATCTCGGCGCCACGTACCGAGCTCCGAATCATGGCATCCGATCGAGCAGATTAAATGCCGAGCTCTTCATATGGCTGTGCAATCGAACCAACTAAAGAGCCGAGCTCTTATGCGTCAAATACCGAGCTCGTCACATGGCTTTTCAATCAAATCAATTGAAGTGCCGGGCTGTTATACGTCAAAAGCCGAGCAGATGAAAAATGCCGAATTCCTACCAAAAGTCAGCAACCGAGCCATAAGTGAAAGGACACATCTCGAAATCTGTTAGGATTGTTCAAATAATATATTTTTTTCCCTCGCCCGTCATTAGAATGTGTTCCTCTACTCAATGTGAACACGTTAATTTATCTACCTATACCATGCATGCTAAGAATGCGTAATTTTTAACCATATTTGGCTACCTTAAATAAAACAGAATAAGGTACACCGACGTGGTCATCTTGACTAAATGAAACGAGGCAGTGGAACCTCGTATCTGGCTACCTTTCCAGCGAGATATTTTCCCCTTGGGAAAGATAGAAAGGAGGTAGGCGGCGGCCGAGCTAGTGTCTTTGTTACCGGCAAAAGTCTTGGGTTGCTCAAGTGCAGATTTAGGACAAGAACTGGGCTGAGGTGAGTCCTCGTCCTTCTCCTCCTCAGGACCGACCTTACCTTCCTTTGACGCTTTGCGGCGCTTTGAGTTTGGTTGTTTCCGCGAAGGTCGTCGGTTGGGTTGGCGCTTCTTTTTAGTCTCACCAATAGTCTTATCAACAGCGGAATCTTGTTGATCGGCAGTTTGTGAAGTGGTTAGGTCGACGTTTGGTTCGGTTTGCGGGAGTGGCTGAGAAGGCTGCTCAGTGCATTTCGGTGTGGCGAGCGTCGAGCTAATGAGGGGTATAAACCAGCTCAACAAAGAACAGGTGACGGGGAGCCGAACTGAGTAAATGAGTTCGGCATACGTAATGATTCTGGGATGAGCTCGGCAGAAAATGCATGACGAGTGAGCTCGCCATATGCAATGATTCTGGGATTTGAGCTCGGCAGGAAATATATCTATATACTTAATCTTACTGAGAATGAAAAGGACTTGGGGAAATTTTGTACTTATCTGAAAATATATTTATTTTCTTCTATAAAATTTCTTCACATATTAATTTATAATATTTTAGCGCCTATCATGTCCAACCTCTGCTTGTTAATTAATCAAATGAGTTTGATCCTTAACAAGTAGAAAATTAAAGGAGTTATCCTTAACAAGTAGAATCTAAGTTGGTCAATATATAATTTATTTCATCTGAATCTATTTATTATCACAAAGAGCAAATTATATATTTGGCGAATTCCCCTCTCATAACTCATAAGATCAAACTTGATAAATGTTGGGAGTCCAAATTCCCCTCTCATAACTCATAAGATCAAACTAATTTATTTGGCGAAAGTACATAACTAATCCCTTTTAGTTTTTCCTTTACATATATATATGAGACTATTGTTCAAATCCCAAACATGTCTTTGACTTGTAATTTATAATCCAAATATGGTCTTCGTTTCATCACAAAATGCGCCACTTTTTGTTTTCTCTCTCCATTTATGGTGGGCAATGAAAAAATTAAATGGAAACATAAGCATATGGTATGTCTAACCTCATTCCTAAAAAAATGATGGAATCTCTCTCTCAATTCCTAATTATTCTGTACATATTAAAAAATAAAAAAATCCACATTTAAAACTGTTCTCTCTCATTGCTTCTTTTTAATTCTTCTCATGTTAATTCAATTGTATAATTGAGTCAAGTGTAAAATATTAACCTAATTCCGATGTCGATGAATAACCTAGCAATCCACGTTTGAGCGTTGTAGAACTCACGTAAGCCGCGGATTTGCGAAACGATAAACTAGGGTGACGTCTGGTTATGGGGTCGAAAATTGAGCTGGTTATACGGGTTTCGCTCAATCGAACCCGAGCTCTAAATGAACTCGGGAGTCACCTCATCATACAAAGGTTTAGAACCGAGCACTTGAGATGCTCGGCTTGAACAAAAATGTTCTACAATTATCCTTGTGATAATTGAAGTACTTATACTTAAAAGATGTTAAAAATGATAGATGAACATTCATTCCCAAGTGTGAGGGAAAAGACGAGCTATCCATACTTGGAGAAAATTAAATTCCATTAATTGAGTTCATAATATATAGCACAAAGACATGCTTTTCAAAAAGACAAGCGGACCTTTATCGAGTCGAGCTACTCAAATATTATGAGCATACCACCTCGCGAGGAAGGCGAAACTTCCTTCCTCTCTTCCGCCCGGTTCACTCGCTTCCTGGACTTTTATCGAGCCGACCTACTCAAATATTATGAGCATACCACCTGCTTCCTTGGC